TGAATGCAAAAGGAAAATATATTCCTGCCTTTAGATTTGTAACTTCACAATGGAAACAATTCAATGCTAAAATAAAGATAAATATATGCATGTATGTAAAGAATATTATCGTTCTATTGTAGTTCGCCTTGGTCTTCGTGATCTTGAAAAACAATATAATAAAACAGAAGATGATATCAAAGCATTGCAAAGTGTCGGACAAATAATTGGTGAAGTTTTAAAACAGTTGGATGAAGAACGATGTAAGCTATTAAAAAATTTTTGTATTGTATTAAATTATTAATATTTTACTTATTTTGTTTAAAAAAATTGATCTTTAAAGTTATTGTAAAGGCTTCATCTGGTCCAAGGTATGTTGTTGGATGCAGAAATAAAGTTGATAAAGAGAAACTTAAACAAGGAACAAGGGTGGCTTTGGATATGACAACATTAACCATTATGCGTATGTTACCGAGAGAAGTTGATCCATTGGTTTATAATATGAGCTTAGAAGATCCTGGTAAAGTAAATTTTGCAGGTATTGGTGGCCTTGGCGAACAAATCCGAGAACTTCGAGAAGTGAGTTTTTTTAATAAATCAATCAATTTAAATAATCAAATTGATATGAAATCAAACTTTGTCTACCATGTTTTATTCACCAGGTAATAGAACTACCACTTATGAACCCGGAGCTTTTTATTCGCGTGGGAATCAAGCCGCCAAAGGGAGTTTTACTGTATGGGCCACCTGGTACTGGCAAAACACTTTTAGCTCGTGCGGTAGCTAGTACACTCGAAACAAATTTTTTAAAAGTGGTCTCAAGTGCTATAGTAGATAAATATATCGGAGAAAGTGCCAGGTTAATTAGAGAAATGTTTGGGTATGCTAAAGATCATGAACCTTGTATTATTTTTATGGATGAGATTGATGCAATTGGAGGAAGACGATTTTCAGAAGGAACCAGTGCAGATCGTGAAATACAAAGGACTCTAATGGAGGTAGATTTGAACCTCAAAGGAAAAAAATATATCTTAATATGTTTAAATCTTAATTGCTAAAACGTAACATTTTAACAACCAGGCATTTATTATACTTCATATTTGTCTTCTTAACAAAACGGTTAG